ATCCCCTTAAGGGTGGTTTCCTCTTGGTGGTGGAGGGGGGCTTGTCTCTGCCTGCCTTTCTTCAGATTGGCCTTCATTCCTGGAATTGAGCTAGGCCTCGGGCTCCCTGTTCAGTAGGGAGTTGGCTTCCCCTCTCCCACTGCCTCCCCCATGTGCATGCCTGCCCATGAATGCATGTTCTCTCTCTCAAACAAGTAAATAAAATCTTAAAAAAAAAAAAAAAAAAAAAAAGCTTTCTAAAGTTTTAACAAACTTCCCCAAGATTTAAATTATAAATGAAGTCTTGTTGACTAATTAGGCTTGTTTATTTGGTATGTTGCCTTCCGGTATAAGGTCATCATCACTCAATATTTTGATTATTAAAGTGTTATGTGTCATCGAAATACCTGAATTTCCTTGTCAATTGTATCATAATGACCTCAGATACAAAGTCCATTTCTGAGTTCATTTATAATTGTTCTTACTCCTTGCAAAATCTCATCTTCAAGGAGATGACTGAAAGGAATTTTAGGATAAATACAGGGATTCAATATCTTTAAGATCATAAAACTAAAATGCATAAGAATTTCCAGAATTAAAAGCTACATTCAAAAAGAATGAGAATTAGTAACATGGGACTAAACAAACTAAAAAGATTATTATAGTTTTGTGACTCTTGCTTGAAACATTGCTGGATCTTTAATGTTCGCTCTTCCAGATTAAGGAAAATTTCTCTTAAGATATCTATGACTTGGGGCGCGTGGGTGGCTCAGTGGGTTAAAGCCTTTGCCTTCGGCGCAGGTGGTGATCTCAGGGTCCTGGGATCGAGCCCCGCATCGGGCTCTCTGTTCAGCAGGGAGCCTGCTTCCCTTCCTCTCTCTGTGCCTGCCTCTCTGCCTACTTGTGATCTCTGTCTGTGAGATAAAATCTTTAAGAAAAAAAAAGATATCTATGATTTGTAGAAATATGATAAATTATTCCTTTGTGAACAAATTCAAGCATTTAATTTTTCTCTCTACCTGAACCCTCTGAAATTTAAAAAGTCTCAGTAAGTATTCTTTCTTCCATGGCAATCATAGTCATTTACATAAGTTCAATCAATAATAATCTGTTCTCCCTGTAACAGGACACCCTTGTAAACATTGGTTATTTTACCAAGGCTTTGACTGAAATGTCATATTTGGGAGAGACATGAATAGATTCAGATATGACCAGACAGCTTTAGGGAACTAAGTTGACTTTATGAAACATGGAGCCATAAATCCCCTTAGAAATGTCGGCCTGATCCCTTGCCTACAGAGCTCCCAGCAGCCTCACCAGGTGAGCAAAGAATGTCACTTCCTGGCAGGTGTAGGAACATCAGGATATACTGGGGACTTTGTGAAGAATTCCCCCAAACCTACAGGTATTGCAGGCCTGTCTGAATGCAAGTACTTGGCTTGGTTTCTGGCCTAGAGACTCTACTAGAAGTTCAATCTAGATTCCTTATAAAAGTTCCAGCAAAGCAGACTTACTTACTTACTTTTCTTTCTTTCTTTCTTTTTTGCAAAGCAGACTTTAAAAGAGCTACAGGGCTGGGGCACCTGGGTGGCTCAGTTAAGCCTCTGCCTTCAGCTAAGTCATGATCCCAGTTTCAATAGATCAGGAGTCTGTTTCTTCCTCTGCCCCTCCCCCTGCTCATGTTCTCCCTTTCTCTCTTTGTCTCTCTCAAATAAATAAATAAAATAAGATAAAAGCAAATCTATATGGCCAATTGCTATTCTTGTTCAGCTTATGAAGTAGGCCAGGTTTGTTTAAACTGGACTTGTTTTGCAAGCAAATCAGTCCTGATTTGGTTATCTCTGATTAAACCTGAGTAAATTTATGTTTCAATAATCCACCTTTGTGGATGTTAAATTCCAGTTCTGATTGTCTTTAAATGTTTGTTGTTAAATGTTGCCTAAACTAGACAACTTGAAGTCAGCTTCAAAAAATTGCCCAAAAACTCTGTATAGACAGTTTTTGTGCCTATTGCTTTATGGGCATGCAAGAGGATCCCTCAGCCTCCTTCAAGGACCCTTCCACTTATTTATGTGAAACAATTCAAGATCTCCAGTTCTTAATAAGGGCATGTAATCCCCTTATTAGGTAATCCATATGATAAATTTAACCATTTTATGGACTATAATCTAGGTCACCTAGGCCTTTAAATGTACTATCTTCACACCTGAAATTATTAATTTAACTCTAGGGATGTCCTTGACTCTTACTTGTTGGTCCAACTGATCCACAGGATCAGGTAATATGTTTTCAAATGTTTTCCTTTGAAAACATATTATCTTCCAAAAAAGGCCACAAGTTCTCCCCATTTCACTAACTTAAATGACCAATCAGAGAGGCAAAATAAACTTTTCCATCCAATTAGCTGTTAGCTCCCTACTAGATGCTGGTGAATAGAGACTTGTCCTACCTGCCTCCTGATTACAACAATGTCATCCTCATGTCTGAAGGAGGAACCATAGCTTTTGCCTCCACCATCCAAGGAATTCCAGGCACGACAACAGGTTTACAATTGAAATAACTGAAACAGTTTGCATTTTCTTAGTCAAGCCTTAAATGATACATCACAGACATTAGATGCACTCAACGCAGAATTAAGTCAAGCCAGAGTGGGGCTTCTCCAGAACTGGGCCGCTATTGACTATCTACTATTGCTACATCATTTGGGGTGTGAGAAGGTTCCTCCCATGTGTTGTTTTAACATTACAGGTAACTCCTACAACGTGTCCCATTTCATAGAGGACATCTGTGATCAAGTGAGTAAGATACGGATGCCCATTGGTCTGTTTAACCGACTTGGTGATTGGGGATCCTTATCTAAGGGATGTGATCATAATTTTGAACCTACTACTTATTTTATGCACATCCTTTTGCATGTGGTGATGTATGTACCATTTGCTGTCCATCACGACCCCTAGAGCCATACTGCAGGCCCCTGGACCCATAAATAGATTCTAACTGCCACACAGCCGGCAGCCTCATTCAGTGGGAAGCAGCCAGAGTGGTCATCCCATTCTCTAAAGGCAGTTAGGGTTACTACTGCAGAGGGGAGGAATGAGTAAGGGACAGGCCGGGCTAGGCAGAGAGAGATAGGTGGGGGCTACGTGCTCAGGCTTACAGAAATCCCAGAAATGCTGAGGTCTAATGAAACCAGAAGTAAGGGAACATAACCAGACCACCTGGTTTGTCTTAAATATCAGAGACAAGATATTTGAAGGAGAAGTAATCGTGGTGATATCTTGGTGGTAACAAGAAGATTTAAGTTCCTTGGTCAGATTTCTATAAAAGACTGACCATAAAAGCCCTCTGTGGCAACCCACTGGAGACCTCTCTCCCTCTAGAGAGCTTTCTTTCTGTTCTCACCTTCTCTTAATAAATGTCTTCACCCTTTTGTTTCTGTGAGATTCATTCTTCGGTTCTGCCAGACAAGAACTCTCTAACCCTGTAACAATATCAAAAGTATCCTTAGGAAGTCATTGACAGGCATGCTCTAGAATTTACATATTAGTCCACTCAGGTCTATTGCCCTATCACGCTCTTTTCCCTTACCATGTGTTATTTTCTTATAAAATTTACTACTTACTACTTGATTTTAAAAAATAACATTTTTACGGAGATAGAATTCATGTACTATACAATTCATCTATTTAAAAGGTATTATACAGTGGTTTTAAGTATATTCACAGATTTGTGCAACCAGTACCACAATCTAATTTTAGAACATTTTAATCACCCCCAAAAGAAACTCTGTACCCATTAGCAATCACTCCTCATTACCCCCTTTCCCTAGATTGGCAGCGACCATCTGTTTTCTGTCTCTGTGCATCTTTGTATTCTAGACATTTCAGAAGAATGGAACCATACAATATGTGGTCATTTGTGACTGTCTTATTTCATTTCATGTAATGTTTTCAAGGTTAATGCATGTATGTCGGCATGTATCAGTAATTCATTTCTTTTATTGCTAAATAATATTTCATTGTATAAATCTATTCATGAGTGCATGGACATTTTGCTACCTGAATAAATATTTATTTTGTTTCCCACAGTAAAATATGAATTTAATGTGCCTAAGAACATTTTTTTTACCACTTACTTTACGCCTAGAATCTTGCCCAGCATTGGAAATGCAAGGAGATCAATACATTCGTTGAATGATTTAATCATTCATTCGCCTAACCAACATTTGCATAGCGCCGCCCCCCCATTTGTGTTCAACATTGGGATCTGTGTTCAAGAATCTCATAATCTCATGAAGTATCACCTGTGCAAACAAATACTTAAAAGAAAATGGATTTTAATAAAGGGTATGAACAAAGCACAGTGTGTAGACAAAAGGTTCAGTTTTGCTTGAGAGACTCAGCAAGGACTCCCTAGCAAAGACAGAAGGTTGCCAGAGTGAGCCATCAACCAGGGCGGTATTTAGTCAACGTCGGGGAGCCTAACCTAGAAAAGTAGTAGTGCTGGAACTCTCGTGCAGTGGGGAGGCATCCTACAGAGGATGAACTGGGCCCGCAGGCAACGTTCAAATCAGAAATAATTGTATACACTCAAAGGATTCAGGATTCTTTTTCCAGATCCAGAAGAAACTGGCAAAAATGGCATCTGAGGATAGGCTGTATAAGTGAAACAGTGGGAGAAAGGAAGACTGGAAAAATTTAAAAACCTGACACATGTTCTTTCCATTGGAAAGCAGGTTTAAAATGTTCTGGCTTTTGATGATGGGAATCCACTGTACAATGCCGAGCAGCACGTGCGGGAAAGTTACTCCGGAGGCAGCGGGAAGCGAGGCGGGCAGGCCGCCGGCTAAGAAGGGAGTGGCAGTCAGGATCGCTTCCTCGCTCTCCTCGGCATCCCGACACTCGCCCGCAGTAACCGAGGGGTAACATGTGCAGACGTGTCGGAAACGCGGGCACCCCCGGAGCAGGCGGCGAGGGAGGCTGGAGCGGGCGCTGGGTCTGCCTCTCGGCGCTGGGAGAGACTCTGCCGTCCGGGGGCGGTCTGGGGGAAACACAGCCTCCTCACTCTTCCTGCTGATGCAATCTGCGAGAGAGCCCGCGATCTCGGCGGCGGGAGGGCGCGGCTGCAGTCCCGCCCGCCACGTGTCGCCGCCGCCACCCCGCGCTGCCCGGGGCATCCATTCCCGCCGCCGCCGCCGCGCGCTCCAGCCGCCCGCGCACCCCGCCCGCGCCTGGGACGCAGCCGGCTCGCCCTCGGCGCGGTCGCAGCGGTCCCCACGGCCCACGGAACCATGAAGGTAACTGCTTCCGATTGGGGCTGTGTTTTACAAAAACGCGTGTATGCACTGAGCCCGCGAGTCCGCAGAGACACACAGTCGGCAGAAAGGGGACGGAAGACCACCGTGGTGTGTTTCCGCGCAAACGGTTTCCGTACCTTCTTTGTCTGTCCTCGCGGGTCGGGACCTTCCATTCCTTCCTTTTCAAACGTGCTCACGGGATGTGCCTCCTCAGGCTTTTTCACCGCGGCAGGGGTGAGCGGAGACGAAAGGCGGCTCGCAGCTCCCTCCCCTACCTGTTTCGAAGTTTGGAAAGGAAGAGGAAGCTTCTTTGATGGGCAAGATGCACAGGAGGTGGGGGTTCGGGGGACGTGGTCTTGGGGTGTTTGTGGCGGCAAAGAGGGGTTTCCTGGTGGGTGTATGTGATAAAGGAGGGAGGTGCAGAGCCAGGGAATGAGGGTGGGACAAGAGAAGGAAAGCTGCCTCATCGCTATTAAAAGCAGAAGCCTCGTCTTTTGCTTGTGGAAATATAAGCTTCTACGAGCTACAAATCATATTAGCCTAAGGTCATTCTTTTATTAAACTGAGTGAGCCGCCCTAATGGTTTTCATTCTTATGCTAATCAAGGGTAATTAGCCTAGCTGCCTATTCTGATGGTTTGGGTGTAGGAAAAATGCCGGTGTCTTCCTGTTCCTACACCTTGGAAAACTGCAATGACGTTAAAAACTGAAGAGCAGCTTTTTTTTTTTTTTTTTTTTTTTTTTTAAAGGAAAGTAAAGGATGAGCTGGGAGCCCTGCCATCTAACTATCTTGGGAGGGGCCGCCTGGGAGGCTCAGGTCCCGATCCCCGGATCCTGGGATGGAGGACCGTGTGGGGCTCCCAGCTCACCGGGGAGCCTGCTTCTCCCTTTGCCCTCACCCCGCTAGTGCTCTCTCTCTCTCTCAAATAAATGAATAAAAATGTCTTGGGAGGAAGAGATATGCAACCTGAACTTTTAGGAGAAATAAACCCACGTTTCCAGGTTTTGAAGGAGAAAGATTGTAGTAACGGTTCTCAACTGCACTTTCCCATCCATCCCCATCCACAACTCCACTTACAAGAAATATGTAAATGGTGCCTCTCACCAAACAAAAATTTCTGCTAAGATTAATGGGGAACTGAGTGGAAACACTGTTTTTGTGTTGAAATGAGATCATGCAAATGTGCTGTGGTGAAAAATTTAGCAGCCTTTCCTTCCATAGTCAGATATTTTACTTCTGCCCTGCTCATTCCTGTGTAATTTCAAATGAAAAATACACTCTGGTCACATATAGGGTAGTGAGTAAAAGGAGAAAATTATGAGAATAAACAATCTTGCTTTTCCAGGTTTCCCTGTGCTATGTGGAGTTGTAGTTGATTATGCATTTTTGTAAATTCATGCTTGCCTTAATGTGAGTCCAAAAACCCCTATCCCTTTTACAAGGTACTTTTTTTTTTTTTAAACAAGGTACTTTTAACACAGGAAGTAGAAGATATCTTCAAGTAGTCTCATACCTCTTTTCTGATATTTCACTGAGATTGGGAATGAAAAAATTGTTTTCTAGGCATGATCTAAGAAGTACATGAGGTTCCTTTAAGTTCGTTGTTGTTATGACAAACACTTTTCTACTTTCCTTTCACCTATTATTATTTTTTTAGATGTTATTTGCACTTGGCACCAGAATAGGCTCTGTCCTTCGCACATTTTCCAGACATGGCTCCCTTCCCTGGGAGCATATATTTTAAGATGGACACCTAAAGCATGGACCACTGAATAAGAAAATTAGCATATACATTGAATAGAATGTGTATAAGAATAGTAAGTACATGTTATGATTGACTAAATTAATGTGGAGATTGAAAAGAGCCATATCTCTGAAGGGATAGAGATAAGAAAAGTCATTGTCAAGGATGTATAGTTAAGTGAAGGAAGTGAGAGGGCTTGACAGGCAACGAGGGTAAAGAAGGCTGTTTGTGTGTGTGCAGAGGGCAGGACCTGGGGCCTGGCAGGGAGAGGGGTTTACTTTTCAGACACAGGATGTGGCCCCTTCAGGCAAGGCTCAGGGATGCATGGCTAGTGCAGGAGGCATGACAAAGGGCATTGGTAGAAACTGGTGCTGAGAAAAAAGGAAAAAGGGAGGGCAAAAAAAAGACAAGAATTTAATTTGAACTTATATTTCATTTAGTGAGTTTCCATAATAGACCATTTCATTTGATTTTAGAACTGCAGAGAGAAAGGAAAGAAAGAAAAATTTCCATTGGTATGCAAGAATTTCTCTTGCTCATTGAACCCTGAGAAGGTCTAATGATTTGAAATGGGTTTAAAACCTTATGAAAGAAAGTTGAAAATAGTCATTTGATAATTATAGAGATTTATGCTAAGAATAAAAAACAAGTTGTGGTTTTCTTCAGTAGTTGTGTTGTAAGGGCCTGTTTAGCCAGAGCAGCTCCATCCTGACCCTGCCCACCCCCCCCACCCCCACTTCTTTCAGGGAACTTAAAAACAAGTCCTGGAAACCAGTCCCAGGTAACAAAGCCCAAACACAAGGGTGGGTCAGGCCAGGTGGAGGTATCCAATCGGTGGGGGCGCATACTGTCTCCCTAGCTACCACGGAGTATGGGCCCCGCTCTTTGGGTGCCCTTTGGGCGCCAATTCTGACCAAGGTGATAGTCTAGTTTAAATATCTACTATAGGGTAAATTGTAATTCAATTGGTCACTTATGTGTGACCTAGCAGGACTGTGCAGCTTTCTCTGTGTTACAGTCTCATTGGTCACCTGTGCATGGCCAGGCCCAACCACATGGCCTTTGCCCTTAAAAGCTAGTCTGTAAAGAAGAGAGAGGTCGCCTCTTTGCAAGAGATGGCCCGGGCCAGTCAGTTTGATTCTGGATGCTTGGCGCGAAATAAAGCTTTGCTTGACCTTCGCTTTGTATCAGTCTCGCTCCTTTGACCATGGACCCAACAGTGTATTTTCCCATTGTTTTCATAAGTTTAGATTTTATCCCTTATTTCAGGTCAAAACTTTGAGTTCTGTAGGGGATGAAAAGTAACTTTCCCTCTACCCTTCTAGGATCTTGGCTGAGACCCCCTTGTAATAAAACACAGATTAACAGGAGAAAAACAAACAAACGTTTAATAACATGTGTACCTTCTATATACATCTAGGAAAAGTAACTTCCCAAAATGGCCCAAGCTATCATCTTAAATATCATCTTCAGCTAAAGACAAAGGAAAGACGTTGGAGGTGTGGTGAGAGGGGGAGCCAGGCTGGGAAGTTTTTAGGCAAAGCCGAGTAAGTAAGGAATGGTTGCAGATTTAAATCAGTACCTTCTCCATTGATGTGTTTTGACATTGAGTTATCCTTCTCTTCAGAGAAGACATACCCTGTACAGGGGTGGGAGTCTCCCTGAAAAATGGAGGTTTCCCTTACAAATGTAGATTTCCCTCAAATTCCACTTTGTTTTCAGAGATTGCCCTGTGTCTGACACCTCTCAAAAATAACCAGTCCAAAATAATTATTATGCCAAAGAGGCATATTTTTGGCATGGCATATTCTACTCCCCTTAAGCTTCTTATTTCTAATATTAAGATACAAACCAGTAAAGTGAAGAGTTCGATAGTAGTGTTATTAACCTGAGAAGCCTGGGCTTGGGAGTAACAGTTTCTGTGCATCAGTGAAAACTTGTTTCTAAACTGCCCATCTTTAGTGTTTGGGTTGTATCTTTTGAGGTTTCATGTTGTCTGCTTCTTCAAATGACCTCTTCTCAGTGGGTGTAGGAAGATGGAAATTAAGAGCTTTCTTTTTCTCCCTTTAGGCATGGCAACCACAATTCCTATAAATGACAGGTGCCACCCTAGGGAAACCCAGTGGAATGTTCATCCTTCTGCCTAAGCGGATTTGGTTATCATATGACGGAGAGACTCTAGGAACTTCTATGATAGACATTATTATCTGAGGCATCATCTACTTTCTGTATAGTACTATAATTCTTGCTGAGCACAGGAGGAAACTGTCTGGTCTGCTCACTTTCCATTTGTAAATGTGGGCAGTCTGTGTGTAACTTTATTCCCTCAACAGCTGTCCAAATGCTTTAAACACTGATGGGCTTTCCGAGCCTCTGTAGCCCATTTGGTGATGCATGTCTGTGTCCTTTCCGCTAATGCCTCTGACATTGCATTTTGCTTAAATCAACTGAGATATAAATGTGATATAAATGTGCAACTCAGGTTTTGTAAGTGTTTCAAAATTAAGCATTTGGGATGCTCTGATTTACAAATATGACTTTGCAAATATTTGCAAACATTTTAATCCTAAAATCTAGTCAGGTTCACCCCAGCAATGGTGAATGCAGAGCCAAAAGCAGAATCTATAACATCAGATTCAAGTGCCAATTGGACCTAGGCTTCTGATTAGTCCTCTCAAATCCACAAGCTGAAGAATATTATCTCTAGAAATTGAGCATTTTTATTTTATTTTAATTTAAGATTTTATTTATTTATTTGACAGACAGAGATTACAAGTAGGCAGAGAGGCAGATAGAGAGGAGGAAGCAGGCTCCCTACTGAGCAGAGAGGCCAAGGGGTGGGGGTGGGGGCTCCATCCCAGGACCCTGGGATCATGATCTGAGCGGAAGGCAGAGGCTTTAACCCACTGAGCCACCCAGGCACCCTGAGCATTTTTATTTTAAAGATAACTTAGAAATCAGATCACCATATTAATACAGGATAGCTCATCACATAAATGTTTTTCTCTTGTCATACTGGCTGTGCTTTTTTTGTGAGAGAAGCTATTTTGCAAAAACACTTCTTGTGTTTGGTGATTACTGGGAGAGAGAAAAATCTTAAGAAGATATTCATGCTCCCAAAAAATACAGGAAAAAAGTCAAAGAGAAAGAAAAGGGAAGAAAAGTAAAAAAAAAAAAAAAAAAAAAAAAAAAAAAATAGAGGAAATTTTAGTACCACAAGCAATAATCTAGGGAAGTTGTACTGGAAAACACATGA